GGAAAGCCCGCCGCACTCCCTGCGAAGTGTGCGCACGGTGCAGACAGAACAAACACGAGGGTGAAGGGCCCCTGCTCCTCCAGGTGAGGAGACCCCGACTTACTTCCATCGGGAAGACGCGCCAGCACAATCCCACTGCCTCCTCTAGCGGTCACAAGAAACCCAGCTTTTATCACCGACAGAATCGCAAGGCCCTTCGCTTTAGCGATCACGTGAGCTGCAAAAGACGAAGACGCCAGGCAGGTGAGCACGCTGGACAGGCGGAAGCTGAACAGACCGGTGCTCCGCGGTTCCCGTGGTGGGGCCCGGTTCCCCGAGTCTCAGCAGCGTGAGTGCGGGCGAGTGACACCTGCTGCCCACGGACGGGACGCGCGGCCTGGAGCCGCCCCTCCCCCTGCCGCTTCCCGGGCTGTTACTTCCGCAGCGCTAAACAAACGCGGCCAGCTCGCAGGAGCGCTGCAACAGCCGCCAAAAGCCAGAACTTGGATGAGACTTCACTGACACCTAGTAGCAAGACAAACAATTCGGAGATTTCAACTAACTTAGAACATAATTCATAATTTAAAAAAACTCCAAGTTACTATTTTGAAAGAAATTAAAACCCATACACTATCAAGGAGAAACTTAAAAAGTGACCAACAGGCCACTAGTGGCTTAAAGCCACCTTCTAACAATATGAAAATCTGGATATAAAACCAGGAAAATTAAGTGATTTAGCCACTTTAAAAAGTTTCTTAACTTTCTAAAGTGATCTCTCACAGTATTCCGGTAACACACAACAACTAGCACACCGAAAACAAAATTCAGAGTATTGGTTTATTCACATTTTGGGGAAGTTCATTGTATAAAAAGAAGGTTGCTAATGTCTGCACCCACTAAACACAGTGCCTCACTGTTCTGTGGATTTGCTCACACAATACCACATCTTTCAAATAACAAAGGAAGCCTAAACATTGGGAAGTATTCTTGGACCCCAATATCACTTTTAAGGTAGTTTAATTTATCATCATTTTAGTCAAATATTCTGTCAAGGAAGTCAAACCAGACACTGGACTCAAATACACAAAAAAAGGCTTCATAGGTGTCCCTAGGAAAACACTAAATTTCTAATATATTATGTACACAATTTCAAAATTTAAATTAATAATGGCTCTCAGAGATGACTTGTCTGGGAGCATGGAGAAGTTCATACACATTCCCCCGGGGCTGCAGGTGCTGAAGCAGGGCCTGGCCATGACTGAGACCCTCTGCCCTGTTTTACAGGAGCCTAATTAATATACCGCACTCCCGTTACATGCTTCACCAAAGATCTGGAGGGCCGTTTGCACAGACCTGCCACAGGGCGCCCGCAATTCCACACGCCCAGCTCACTCTGTGCTGTGCGCTGGGGGCCTCTGTCTAGGGGCCCTTGATGTAACAAAAGTGTGTTTTAAAATGAACATATTTCCAATGTCAGGGGCAATTTTTTTTACAGCCTTATCCACCCAAATTCAGGGACATTAAAATACCAATAATCCCTAAGAAACTTTCCAGTCAGCTTTTCCTTTGTAATGTGGGATGTACTTGACTGCAATTTTCTCTAAGCTTAGTTTCATGTACATCTCAGGGCACCACACACCAGCGGACGGTGAACTCACACCCTAAGCATTTGGTTTTAAAATATTTTGTGGACTTTATCGTGTGTTATATAGTAGAGCTCCCTGGTTTCAGTGAAAGCATCATCCCAAGGAAGGCCCAGGAAAGGTGGGGCTGGTCCTCTGGCAGACGTGGGGCCTCCTGCCTCCCGGCCCCACATGCACAGTGGGCACCCCCATGGGGTACGCTTGTACCCGTGCTAGGTAAATGGATTTTCATTTTTGGCACTGTGCCCATTGAAAGGGAGCTGGGTGCCCTTTGACTGGAGGCAGAAGAAGGCAAGACAGAATTCTGCTGGACAAAATCCATGCAGAATCACCCATACCCAGATGTTTTTCTGGTAGGAAACACAGCTCAGCCATCAGCGGGGCTAGCCTGAAATGACACCCACAAATGTCTCTACCTCCTGCTTCAGAAGAGTGCTGCAGTAGAGTCAGATTTTCCTCAAGTCTTAAGCAGTGCTTCTCAAACATGTACATGCATGTAACTCCCTGGAGACCTTGTGAAAAATGCAAACTGATTCCTTAGGCCCAAGTGAAGCCTGAGGTTCCGCATTTCTAACAAGTTCCCAGGTGACACCTGTATGTGTCCAGTCTACACTTGGACACAAGGCTCTAGGAAGCACTGTTTTCTTAAGATGGGAGGAGTGGCTGGGCCAAAATATAAACAATTATGATTATTAATATTATTTTTATAACAACAACAACAAATTAGAAAACTTTTTAAACATTTAAAGTTCTGTTAAATAACTTCAGAAAATCTGGCTTCAGAAATTAAGCTGGTTTCTTCAATGCAGGGTGAGAGCCATGCACCAGGAAGGAAATCAGCCCAAGCTGGTCTGCATGTGTGTCTCTTTGCAGGAGAGGATCATATGACACGTCTTTTAGAAATGACTATAGCAGTAAAGAAGAGATAGCGGTACCCAAAGGCTCTGGGCCAGGTCCTATGTGGTCAGCCTGACTGCAGGAGAATCACAGGAGAAATGTGTCAAAAATCTGCCCTCCTGGCCACACTGCTCTGGGATCTGATTCAGCAGGTCTGGGGGGAGCTTAAGAACTTTAATGACCCTGGAAATACAGATGTCCAGTTGTGCTGGGAATTATTGAGTAATGTCTTCCTAAACCACTATAAAATATAACTATCTTATCTAGAAAGAGAAAACAACAAAAAAATTTTATGTATGAGATTAGCTAGTGAGTTTGTAAGATGAACTCCAAGGTCCTCAGAAATTGAAGACAAGGACCTGTGAGTTCAAGGAAAGTGGAATTGGGGAAGGACACATGGCACTTAGGTCCGTGTGCACTGAAGGGGAGAGGGGAGGAAGTCTCAGGGGTGATGGGGGGGGGCTGCCCAGGAGACCCACTGGGGAGATTGGCCAAGAGGAGAAAAGAGGTCTGAGGATGTGCTGCTCACAGTTGGTCGACTGCCTAAGACGAAGGAGGCAAAGGTAATTTAGGAAACCAACATATTTTATTTACCTACCAGGAATGATCTTATCAGGTCCATTTCTGGAAGTTATTTCTGTGAATTCTCTTAGGATTTTAGCAGCCTTTTTGGCTTCAGATTTCAAATTGGAAGGTATAGGGTTATTCACTAAAAGATAAAAAAAACTTTAATTAAAAATATATAGAAATTAGAAATTTATTTTAATTTCATTTTTCTCATATACAATTAAACATTAGCAAATTATATCCTACCAAAGGAAATGAATTGGAAATCCTTAATTATTGATCATTTCATCTCTATTATCCTAATAAATTAAATTTGGATTGGGAAACCTTAAAGTCTCAAACTCTCAGAAATTATAAAATCCTGGGATTCTAAAGGATCTTAAACACATCTTGTCCAGTCTCCCAATTATGTATCTTCTCCCAGTAATTCTTAACTCACTTCAATATTAATGAAAAATATTAAATTTTTAAGAATTAAAAAGATGTATTTTACAACTATCTATAACAGATAATATAAAATTTAATATATTTGGTCATTTTTGTCCAAAATGTTTGAACTATTTGCATAGATTCTCTGTATTAGTAAAATTCTAGTACACTCAAGAATTGAGTGATTACTCCAACTAATGAACACTTGCATTTGTACAGCATTCTACATTCTCAGCACTGCTTGGGTATTTATAAACTCACACGAAGGTTGATTTGTCCTAGCAGGGTTCATTCAGCCTCTTCAGCTCTGACGTATGTGGGGTGGGCCACTCCCTCACCACGGGACAAGTAACCAGAAGAGCCAGAGAAGTTGAAAGGCTTCAGTGTAAAGTCTGCTGTTCAGACCATCAAATGAATTTTTCATTTCAAAGAGTGGGTTTTCAGTCCTGGAAATTCCATTTGGTTGTTTTCATTCTTTCCATTTCTGTCCTCATTGTGTTTATATTGTTCTTTAAATCCTTGAGCATATTTTAAAAGGTGCTTTTATGTCTCTGTCTGATAATTGCATCATCTCTGTCCCTTCTGGGTCTGTTTTTGACTGATTTTCCTTCTATTTATGGGTTACATTTTACTGTTTCTACCCATTCCTAGTGAAATTTGATGGTTGCTAGATATTGTGAACATTGCCACATTGAGTATCTAGATTTTGTCATATTCTTTGGACAGTGTCAATGCTTGTGCTAGTGTAGAGTGAGTTACTCGCAGATCAGTTGAGTCTTTTCAAGGTTTGCTTCTTTATTTTGCTTGGGTGTGTGAAGCCTTCAGATGAACGTTAGGCTATGTTCCAGTGTGACTCTGGGCTCTCTCCTGAATGCCTGAGGGTCTGATGTGGTCTCTCTCCTTGGCTGGTTGGAACTGCTGCCCCCAACCCCATGTTAGCTCTGAGAACTGTTTGCCTCACAGCTTTCTGATAGTTGTTCTTTGCCCTGTCTTGAAAGTGTCCCCCTCCCACCCCGCCAACACACACACACACACACACACACACACACACACACACAAATGCTTCATGTTCAGCCAAGGACTCAAGGGTCCCTCTGCAGATTTCTTGAGCTCTTTCGATCTTTGGCTCACTCCTTGCTGGTAATCTGCTCTGCAAATTCCAGTTGCCTCAGCCTGTCCAAAATCCAACTGTCTCTCCCATTCAGAAAGAACACATGTCTAGGCTGTCCTCCCTCCTGGTGCTGCAGCCTGGAAAGTGCTGCCAGGCAGGAAAATGGGCCATTGTGGAGTTTATGTCAATTTCCCCTCCCCTCTGGGATCCTAGACCCACTCGCCTGTTGTCCAAAGTGTGAAAACAGGTGTTCCATGCATGCTTCCCAGTATCTAGATGTCTACAGCACATGGCAATTCCAGTACCAGTTTCTTTGCCGTGAAGCTCTCAGTGTACTTTAGTTTGTCCTTTTATGATGAGTAATATTGACTACTTTCCACTTCTGTCAAATCTTTTCCATATTATTTATCCATTTATGGAAGGTATTTTTCTGTTTCTTATTGATTTATATATCAAGGGAATTAACTTTTTTCTAGAATATGAGTTACAAATACTGATTTCTTATTTGTCATTTGTCTTTTCAATTTTCTTATGATGGTTTTTCTACTTTTTAAAAGATGAAATCAAAATTATATTCTCTTTTAAGTCTAACAAGTGTCTTTTAACAAAGTAATTCTCAAATTCATATGGAAAAATAAGCAAGAAAAGCTAGAAAAAATGTGTAAAAGACGAATAATGAGGGGGCAAGCTCTGCCAGGAGTTTAAGATATTATAAAGCCTCAATAATTTACCGTATAGTAGATGCAAATACTGGCAAAAGTCAGTTTTGTAAAATAGAAAATTCAGAAACTGACGCAAATATATAAATGCATTTAAATATGATAAAGGTTACACCTCAAATCAATGTGGAAAAGCTGTATTACACAATAAATAATGGTCTTTTGGGGGAAAACTTTCATCCACAGCTTCATGTTACATAGCAATAAAGTCCAAATTCACTGATGATTTAAACTATCAAAAATCAAACCATAAAAGAACCAGAAATTATGCGAGAAATACTTTTCAAATTCATGGTGCAAAAGGCTCAACTATAATAAAAAGTTTTTCTGTATTTTTAAATAATCAGAAATCATGGCGTAAGCACATTGTAAAAATAAAGGGAAAAGTATAGATACACAAATATTGCAGAAAAACGGCACCCCTACCCCTACCATCCACCAGCTCTGCTGTCCGCGTTCTGGTGTGCGCATCAGTTGGCTCCTATTGCTAAATAGCAAGTAGGTTATTTCCACTTTGAGCTTTTATAGGTACCACTGTTGGGTGGTTCTTGATATAGAATCTTTAGAGTTGGAATTAATAACTCAAAGCAATTCAAAAAAATTTGGGGTTTTTAATTTCATTATCAAATCACCTTCTAAAAATACTACCCTACTTTATAGCCATTGGGTATTATCGTAAAAAACTCATACTGTAGCCTGAGGCTGATGGGGACAAAGTGCACATCAGAAAGACAGGATAACAAACTTTTATTTGAATTTATTTGAATACTAGTGATTTTTCCTGTTTGTTCACACTTGCTTTTTGCACATTTTCTGTTTATGTTCTTTGCTTGTTTTCCTGCTGCTGTACTTCTCTTGTCTATAATTTTAATCGTGTCACAAGTTTATATCTCAGCTTCTTGTTTTCACAATTTTGTTTATAATTTTTCAGTATTTGTTTTTATTTATATAGCAACATCTCTCTGGGCTGTCTACTATTATCATCTTTCTATCTATTATTGTGACTAAAGGCCTTAATTTAAGAAAAAAAATTATATAACTGTTATCCTTTATTTTCTTCCAGAGCTCTTATTTTTCATTACATATTTGACCTACCTCAAACTTGCATTGGTATAGGATGTGAAACAAGAACCTAAAATTTTTAAAATACATGACAAATTTACTGAATAATCCACAGTGCTTAATAAAGAAGGCTATCTTTATAACAAAACAAGAAAGGAATATTCATATATATACTCATACATTTAAAAATAGATGACAGAGATGGCATGGTAGATTAATAAATTATTCTGGGACAACTCTGGTTCATTCAAAAGAAAACAAAATAAAATTAGATTACAAATACCACATCAGACACAAAAAAATTTCAGTGCAATTGAAGGTCCAAATATTGAAGGCAAAAACTTAGTACTTTTAGAATGAAAATAATAGAGTATCTTTATGACTTGAGGATGGAGGAATGCTATAAACAAGGCACAACAATAAAAGGAAACTACAGATCTATTCCACTACATTAAAGTTTAAAACGTTGTATCAACACACACTTAAAAATAGAAACCACAGACTGGAAAATATTTGCCATAAATGCACTTAACAGAGATTGAGAATCCAGGATACAAAGATCTCTTAAAAGTCAATAACAGTGTGAAATCACAGTAGAAAGTTGGGCAAAGTGTTCAGTCAGTTAATTCACAGAGGGGAAACCCCCATGGCCGATG